TAAACATATCCATTAGGATTAAATAAAATCAATAATTTTTCAACCAGATTTAACAATCTTTTCTATTAGTTTACAAAAAGAAGAAAAATACATATTATAATTTTAATAATGTTATTCAAAAAAGTTGCAAACTAATCGTTTCTGGTAAGATGCTATTTGAATGAGATAATAAAAATTTATCGAACACCTATAAGTCTTGAGAAATAACATAGAATTGTTTCATATATTATTTAATTACAGAAAAAAGAATTTATAGTCGCAAATTTACGTTCCAATAAAATAAACATCACTTAGGTTCAATTTGAATAGATTTCTCATAATTCAGCAATTTTCCACTCTTCTCAGCTATTTAAATAACGTTTACGTGAAGTATCGATGTATGTTTAATAACGATAAAATAATACAACGAGTACTTAACGTCATGTCATTGTTATCATATCGTTTAATCAGGTTAGATGTAATACTTTAACTTGAAATCTGAATTACTTTCAGAAATTGATGTGTAACAGAATAAAACAGAAATTGATGTATGACAAATAAAATATCTTGCTTTTAGAGAATCTTCAGGTATACGAATACAGTGATTATCTGATAACTTTTATTAGTCTTTGTAGTGTTTCGAATAAATTAAACGTTATTTAAAACAGTTTAATTATAAAAATATATGTAAGGCTCTATATTTGAATTTCCAATTAATCACAATATTTATTTCACTGTTGGAATCATTTTGATATTAATAATTTTTTAATTAAACTAACTTGATATTGATAGCATTCAGGAAAAAAAGGAATTTGACAAAGCCGATAAGATGAACATTTAAAGTCTGTTCATTCCTCAGATTTTCCGTATTATTACACATTTGCTTTTATGCTAAATAAATTTCAAAAAGAGATATGAAATAAATGATTATATAAAATTGTTAAGAATATGCAAGAGAATACAAAAAAAATCACTCAAATTATCTAAATTCCGACTTCTCCTTACTTCCCTTCTCTTCTATTATTTTTATTATTTTTGAAACCGTAAACATTTTTACATCCTTTTATGCCTCTTCTCGATTACTGTTATCATAGATTGATTTGATGGGAAACTTTCATCTACAGTCATTCAATCAATAACTTCTCCAATGAATGGACTAAATTGGCTAATTAAAAAATTGCAATATCCTAAAAGTATTTCATGCCTATTTTTATGCAAACTATACGATCAGTAAATACGTCAACGATCCGAGCAGTTCTAACCCATTTTTGCTAAGAGCCGAATAATTAAATTTAAAATGATGTATATTTGATACACTTCAAAGTTGCTTTCTTTTCACTCTTTTCCTTCTATACTAAACTTTTTCCATTGCATAAATGTGAAAATATAATTAGTGAACAATTTTTTTCTCGTTTTTTTTTGCCGTGAAATTCTAGCCATAGAATTTTTTCTTCATTTAAAACCAAAATAGTTTTGTTGTTTATTTGGTTGCCGATTGGTTCCGACCTGCACTTCTATATATCTTCCATATTCTAACGTATCTTTTGTGAAAATTTAGAGGGTGAGGTACGACATATTCCTGTCGACTTCGAAATTTCTTTTGATGCTAAGCGACAAACATAGCGTTCCTCCATCATCGTTAACATCTCAAAGGTGGTCTCCGACCTATTCTATCTTACTAATTCAACCAATTTTTTATTCACTACTTTTTTGATATACATATATATACATAGTGATAGTTTAATTTTGTTCCAATAAATTAGGCCTTTAGAAAAATTGTAAAATATTAGGATTGAAAATGATAAGATATTATAGAAGGTGATAGGATAGGTTGATAAAAAGATGTGATTAGATGGGATGAAAAGTAGCAGGTAGTAGCTATCAACGTCAATACACTATTCCCATTTGTTATCGCATTTTAACAGCTCATAAAAACGTCAATTATTATTTCCATTCTCTTCAGCCACCCATCACTGTCACCGCCATCCATCCGCGAACCTCATTTTGTCAGCGAATTACCAGAAACGAAAAAAATAAGAGAGAGTAATCAAAAAAAAGACAAAATTTTGTCAAATATAATATATATGCGTTGATCATCTTATCGACGTTTTTTTCTTATGAAAATTAGAACAGAAATTTTGAAATTTAATAAAACTTAGCATATTGATAAAAAGTAACTGCAAAAAACTTTTTTGCCCTTCAGCCTAAAATATTTATAAAATTATTGTCAAGAAAAAATGCAATAATAAGCATAATAAAAAGCGAATAATCGTTAGTACAAAAGTTTGGCTAATAAAATTGGAGCGTTTGAATGAGATTTGTTAAGTGATCATTAACTGAAAGAAAGAATGTGACAATTTTGATCCAAAGTAAGATAGTGGTTATTATGATTAATTTAATTTACTGCAGAAACCAGCAATTCAATTAATTTTAGTAATTAAACTGAGAAAATATTATTATTGCTCACCAGCAATTGCTTAAAACTATGCATTGTTACTCATGCAAACCTTGATAGCATGAAAATTTCTTAAATTTAAATGTTAGAGAATGAAAATGATAATGAATGTAGTTACTCAATATTTCAGCGCTCATCAAAATATTTTAAATATCAAAGTTCCGAAGTTTTTCCAAAATTTTGAAGACTTTTCAATAATCTTAGAATAGTTATTTTCAAGAATCTCGATGTAATACTGAGTAGCATTTATGGTATGCTTAGATATTTAGCAAATCTTAGAAAAATTTAGGAAAATAAATTCAATATTTATATATTTAAGAAATTGTGTTACAAATGCTTATCCCAGTAATTACCAAACCCTAATAACAGTTATTAAGTGAGCATACAAAATTTTCAGTTCAACTACCTATTTTTTTCTATTGGAATATTTTACTATTAAATGTTATTGCTAATCACTGCTTAAAAATAGACAATAATTTGAATTTGTTAAAAACTTTAACATTTCTTATAAAATTGGTGGTTAAATTAATCTATGAATAAGAAATACCTGAAACTTTCAGGTAAATAAACAAATATTGGCAATGAACAAACATGTAGAGACGTTATTGGCATCTATGGCTGAGAATGCTCGTAGTCAAGCAGAAATACAGCAAGATATACCTACCTATAGCAATCAGGACACTCAAAAGTTGGTGAGAGCTGTTGTGAATGGAGAAGGACTGCGTCCAAGAGTAATATCCAAGATTTAATCAATTAATTACAGTTGTCATGTTATACAAAAAAAGCCATAAAGCGGTGTATTGGGTCTTTTTAATTTCTTAGATAATCTGAGCAGCAATAGCTTTTTTTCTTTTTCGTGATGCTATTTCAATAGCTCCACCTGTGATGCTTCTATTATTTACAGGATTTATAAATTAATCAACTATTGTTAGCTAGATAAACAAATTTGTTAAGCAACCTAAAACTTTTAATCCTCTTAACACTTTAACACCAAACACCTCATTATTAGCTTTGCCAGATCTTTTAACTTTGAGGCATTTGTTTGCTTCCTCTATAAATTTATCTTATCTCGTTGTTGTTGTAGAAATTTCAATTCTTCAACTTACATTTTAATTTCAATTTGACGTCATACATTCTAACCTTATGATAATTTATCAGTCAATTAACAATTCATTTCTATTCAAACAGATTTGAAACTTTTTATCTCGAAAATGTAATTCTATTTTAATTAAAAAAATAAGGGCATTCAAGTTATATTACATCGACTTCAAAAGTAGGCAAAAAAAATATCTGCGTCTGTATGCCTGAGTGTCTGTCTGCATTAGTGGGGTGTACGTATGTGTCGTATCATTCAGAAAAGAGAAATTTATCACAAACAACGGGTGTCGGCATTTTCTCTTTGATGTTCCTGAAGGCAGTATTACGGTAGTGGAAACACACACACCCGTATACACAGACATATACGTACACACCGGACAGCAAGAGCAAGAAAATAGCAGCAAAACGAACGTACAATTTTCACACTCGAACGGCAATACTTCCAGCAGCACTAGCTTTCATTATCGTTGTCATCGTTATCATTATAATCATTATCATTATAATCATTTATCATCATTAAAATCAATTCATGTTAAAATCGATCTAACCTTAGGATAGTATCGGATGAGCGAAAGTATTAATAAGCAAACTTCTCGAGATATCACTACATCATCACTACTAATTTTTATAACTTTCATTGGTTAACAATTTTATAGTAGAAAAAGAATGACTGACATATTTCCATATCGAAAATTTGTATAAATCGGATCGCTTTTTTTCTCGAAAATTTTTCAGCAATTACTAAATATTCGAATATTTCTGCAACAGAAATTATACTGAAGAACCTTGAAAAGGTAAGTGTTTTGAATTGAAAGCATTTAAAAATTACCTTATCATTCTTATTTTTCAATTAACGAACAGATTATTTAATTTCTATTTTCTTAAATATTTATTGTTTTTTGGTTATATTTTTGTTATACAAAGTCGTCTCATGAACTAATTTATTGCATCAATTAGAATTGATAATTATAAACGTTTGAAAAGAAAGAAAGATATTTGGACTTAATGAAAAAGAATTTATATTTTCGAGTAGCGATTTTGACAATGATCCAATTTAATATTTACTGGAAACGAAAAAAAACAATGGGGTTGTAGGTGGCATGGGGATGGAGGGAGTTGTTAAATTTGATTCGATACTTCCTTCTCCTATCCTCCCTTCTCAACATACTATTTCTTCGATTGCAGTCCAAAAATCAGTGAGCTTGTACTTTTGAGATATGACAATTTATCAAGGAAAGGTAAGATTAATTACTAACATGGCTTAATTGACACATCTTTGGGCAGAATTTATTTGGATTCTTGGATGAAATTTGTAACATCGATAATTTGTAAACGCTCCGAGAGTCAAAGGAAAAAAATTTCAGTGCAAAAGATGAATAAATATATCGTTTGCAACATGATGAAATTATTACTTAATTTTCTCTTACTCATTTCATTTTTTTTCAAAATGTTGACCTTGAAAAACAACTATACATTCAATTACCCAATGTTGTTGGCAGGTGACAAAAGATATAAACAAGGTACCCATTTGATAATCATTCATCGATTTTTGATTTTTATTATGGCAAGTTATCTTAGATTCATGATTTCACTCTTTTTTTCATAGAAAATTTCAATTAAAATAATATCAAATCATTAGGGGAAAATCAAACTTAACACACTTCAGATATTATCAATTAGGGCTTTTTATCATTAATATTAAACTAAGATTAAAGGTAACCTCTTTTAATTATCAAAACTTTTGCTTAAAAACATTTTGCACTATTTTAATTAATGATTTTTATAATATCACTCAAAATGTTGTAATTAACTTCGAGAAAATTAGTGTACAAAATTTTAGGTTTATAATTGTAAAGTTAAATAATAATATATTTATGTAAATATCGTACCAAAAATGCATATTTTTCTGCACTAATTGAACACTAACATTAATCAGTTTAATAAAGATGATAAAGCTATCAGTAGATAACTCTTCAATAAATTCCTTATAGTATCAAACAATTAGCCTATTATGAATAATTTAATGAGATTAGAAGAAGAAATTGGTTTTTTGAAATATAATTGAAATTACATATCGTATATAACTGCAAATTCATTTGAGGTGTAATAATTAAAATGTTTGTTTTTAAATCTATTGGCTGAATAAAGTGAATTAAGAGCAGAACGGAATTTTTTCAGACTCCAAATAATGATATTTTAATAGCTTGAATTATTAAATAGAGATTCAAAAGTGGTTCCCATTATTGTATTTTCGTTTTAACACATACATTTAATACTTTACTATTAATTTAAGTTAGTAGCCAATGTAATCAGTAAACTGGTTATTTATTAAAATAGAAAAAAAGTTTTTTAAAAACTATATTTGAAAAAATTTAAAAATGCTTCAAGTCTATAAAAATGCAAACCTTGAAGATTTGTTGAATGATATCGTGTGACGATCTATTGCAAAATTTTTTTTCTTTTTTTATTCAATTAACATACGGAAGGAAATTTTTTGAGGTATTGGTTCAATTTTCATCGATATCTTCCTTTCCTTTCTTCTAATTGCTTTTATGACATTAAATATGCCATATATCACACTGTGTACCCCAATTTCTCATTTCCATTAACAACATAAATTTTTCCGAGTACATACAGGTTCCTATAAGTTGAAGTATTTTAATTCACAGATACTATTGAAATTTAAAATATTGATACAAGGAAACCTGTGAGAATTTTAATCATTCTTAATTTAATTATTTCATAAGTTAAACTATAAAATGAATGGGAAGAGGATATATATGATTTTGATAAATTTAGGTAAACCTCTTAGTCCTAAATTATTTATTAAAAAAAGAGATTAGATTGAATTAATTTAGTGCAAAAAGAACTGAGAATATTGTAACAAATAAATTCCTTATGAATATATGAAAAGATTAGAAAAAGATTGATAGAATTATGAGAGTATCTTAAATTATCCATATCAAGAAAACTATTTTAATATCATTCTATCAATTTAATAATGTTGAATTTTCAACCATGACATTGCATAGGTACAATAATATTATATGAAAGTTTCATATAATATTAGTAAAAATTTATGGGAAGATATATTTTTTAGGTAAATAGAAGCTTTGAAAATGAAGTGAAATGAAAAAAGGTTTTGCTTTGCTTTTAAATATGAAATAGGAAAATAGGGCTATTTTAAAGAAGGCAAGGCGGCATAAATAGCATTCTAAGGAGAAAGGTATGGGAAGGGAGGGAGTTCGATGATATTAGTGGGTTGGCAAAGTAGGAAAGGGTAGTAGAAATCAAGGGACTATTGCTTTGGCTATAATGTGAGCATAAATCACTGTAAAACATTTCAAACAATGTTCCTCTCTTAGCTACCCTTTAACTTTTCCTCTGTTCCTTTTTATCAGAACATATCTGCATGCATGCATGCAAGCAGCATTGCAATCGCAAATGAATTTTAACAGAAAGAGAGATTTTTCGCGAATCATTTCATCTATTCAACAATTATAGGCTTGGTTAGTTTTGCGTGTTTAACTAAGTTTAGCTGTTTAAGATTTCAAAATTAACTGCTTAAATTATTTGCTAGGTGATTCAGACATGTCGTCAGTGGTGAGAAGAGGTGTAATGAAATGACTATATCAGGTGGAGCTAATTTAATTAAGAGAAATTTGATAGAGACAGAATAAAGAATTGAAGGAAAAAAGAATCTTCAATCTCTAGTAAAATACTCTTCACGCATGTTGCATGAGTTAGGATGAACCCAATTTAAAAATTCATTATCAGCTTTTATTCTATTCACTGCTTAAATTTGAGAAGCTTTAATTATTATTCATTAAGAACACCAATAAAATTTTTTCAAAATTTAATCAGTTAAATGTGCATCCTAAAGGTTTATTCAACTAATCAACGTTTAATTTAAAACATCCTCTCTTTAATTACTACATATATTTGATTATTTACATTCGGAATTTTTTCATCAATTTCTTCAAAATAGTATATATTTATTTTTCTTTTTTGAATAAATTAATAATTTCTTTGTAAATTTAAGGAAAAACAATCATATATATTAAAATTGTTTTTGATCATTTAAGAAATCTTTCGGAGCTAATTTCATATTTTTCTCTTTTCTTCTCTCCAAGTAGATATATTTCTAAAAATAAACCTAAAATGATAAAATCTGCAATATAAGTAAACAATAATCAACTGAATATGGTAATAGCCTTTTTTTGGAAAAAAACAATGCAAAATTGCTTATCACGTTTATTTTATCTAAAATAAAAGAAACGAAGGAAACTGATGATGAGATCATCAGATTCTTCTTCGTCTTTTTTCCTCTGATCTAAAGATCGGATAATCAGACAATAGTAAATATACTGCTTCTCATTAATTTAATAAAATTGAAAGCAGGTGTAAAATACAATTAAGGAAGACAGAAGAGGAATAGTTTTTATACGTTTTTATACTACTAAGTAGCGTGGATCGCATTTAGAATAGGACGGTAATCCTGTCTGTGTGTGTATATGTATGTGTGTGCATGTGTGTATGTGTGTATATATGTGTGTGTAATCGGCGAACATCAAAGAGAAAATTCGTATATGTCTGTGTATGCATATATATATTAAAAGCAAGCTCAAAATAAAGGGGTAATGAAATTGTA